ACAATTGGACATTGAGACAGGAATTGGCAAAGTTTTGTAATAGCCGCCAAGATGACTGGGATGTCTTACTCCCTCCACTGTTGCTGGCCTATAGAACAGCAGAGAATGAAGCCACTGGATGCACTCCAACAAAGCTGATGTTTGGTCGCGAACTTCGGTTGCCAGTGGATCTGATAACAGGATGTCCACCTTACGAAGAGTTGCCTGAAAATGTGTCAGAGTTCGTGAAAGTGTTACCTGAAAGGATAGACAATATTCACCATCAAGTGCGTTCAAACTTGAAAATGTCTGCTGATTCCATGAAGCTAAAACACTAAAAAGGTCTATTTTCTTATACAAATAGCTTTACACACACACACACACATAATACTGTGTATTTCTGTAAATGTTTAAATATATACACACATAGGAAAGCAACTAGAAAATAATTGTGTCAGTAGTATGATAGTAACCTGTTTTTATTAGATAGTGAGCATTAAAAACATTATTACAAAAATGGTATGCTAACATTACAAGCCTATGTTTGCATAATTGTTTTTTTGGATCCCCTTGTCCTCCACCCTGGATTCAGTAGGATTTTTCATTTTGATGTGGTTTAATGTTTTCTAGTACCTCCAACATAACTAAGTTCTGCAGAGCACAGCCTGAATTTTACTTTTTTGGTCTCCCGTCTTATCAGTTTCATATCAATTTATTGTATCTCTACACAGTGGGAGGTTATGTTGGCAATTTGTCCAAAAAAGTGATAAAACTATGAGTTTTGATATTAAAATGCTCAATTTGGAAAACTTGATAATTGTTTTTTGTTTTGTTTATTTAAGTATATATATAATTTATAACCATAATTCCATGTATTTTCTTGTGACAGTTGCACATTCAGTTTAATAGTAATATCTATTTGTTAAATGTTTAATTTCTTAGTAATGTGAATAATTATAGTGATAAATGAAGTTGTTCAAAACTGAGTGGCAGCTTGACATGTTTTTACAAATGTAAGGTTAACTTGAAATATAAATCTTGCTATTTGCCATTAATACCACATAACAAAAGTAGGAAGTAAACAACAAAAGAACTTCTGAGTAACCCTTACTTTCTTGATATTTCACTTGTAAATTTTTAGCAATTAATAAATTAAGCAAAATTCAAAATGTTTGACACTTGGTTAATGTTTAGACTCTTAACATTTGTAATTTTAAAATTCCTGTTGGTGACTCTTTCTGTTGTGATTTATTAGGAAGACATTGCATGAAAATTGTTACTTTAATATATGAGATTCTTCTAGTTCTTTTTTTTTTAATGTTTTACAAGATTCTAAACAGACCTAATGTGCTCTGTTACTTTAATAGATCAGATTCTTCTAGTTCTTTTTTCATGTTTTACAAGTTGTCAAACATGGTTTTGGATACAGCACTCTGTCAGTGTTCCTGGGCACATCTTTAACAACCTTAATTTCTTATCTATTGTACTTAAGTTGTGCCTCGACTTGTTGAGGACTCTTTGCTGCCTGATGTTTTCTCCTTAGAGGTATAACGATGTGTTATTTCAAGATAAGATACGCATTGCAATATGTGATTTATGATGTGATAGATGATACAATATCAGTTGACTTGAGCATGGCAACAAGCTAAGTGCAGTCAGTTTATTATGTGTGATGAGTGAATTATGACCTGGCCATTTGCGGTAAACTTGATTTTATAATTCTAAGTACATTGAGCAACATACCAGTTGAATTAGTTACTAACCAAAAATTTGAAATGACATTTCAATGCATAGGTCATCACTACTGGGATGCCAGAGGGGAACATTATTCATTGGCTTTTGTTTTAGTGGGGCCAAGTTTATCTTTACATATGGAGCAAATGATTGGGTATGTTGGTAGGCAAGTACACATGCTCTTCATGGGTGGCTCATACTGACAGGCTCATGTGCTGTGGGATGTATGCTACAGTGGTCACAGTATGATACATCTATTGTGAGGAAACATATTTTGATATATTGATGCACTGGTGAATTGTTACAACAATAGTTATAATCTGATCAGTGTGTGAAAAATCTGGGCAAATGTCTTGCATAGTCTCCATCATTAAATAGTTAAGGGACAGTCCATGGGAATTTACATTTACAACTTTGTATCTCCTGCAAGAATCATGTGGATGTGGACATGATCACAACCATCTGTATATATCATGCTTTCCTTCTTTGCTGGATTCAACAGTGCCAAGGAGATGGCTTGTATCATGCCATGATTGGGGCTTATTGTCAAACTGATGCCTCACACAAAGCAAAGACATTCTGTATATTATGCCACTCATGACTCACACATGGCAAAGGGACTTTGTATATCTGTGACATGTAACATACCATGCATTTTCTGCTTACTGCATAGTATAGGAAATTTCAGAATCTTTCATTTAGTCTGATTCTATGCAGTTTTTGTATAAACACATATTCCAGAAAACTTTTAAACTAGTTTCATTCTATATTACTTTGTGTCTTTATTGTTCTTTTAGAGATAATACCTTCTCTGCCCAAGAAAATATCACAGCAACTTCACTGACTGAATGTAATGTTTCTGATTACTTGTATTCACGTCCTTTAAGCCAGTAGATGATATCTAGAAGTTACAACTTTGACTATGTTGTACGAGAATGACTGTTTTAATAATTTAGTTGGTATGGGTAAATCTGACATTTCCTGTTAATCCTATCGCCACGGGTATCCTTTGCTGAGAATGACACAAGGTTTTAATGTCTTACATTCAAATTTTTATTAAACTACTTTTTGTTTATGTTATGACAGTTAGAATAGCATATAATCTTAGCTAATAATATATATTTTAATAGTATATAAGTTTTCCATAGTGTGACACACATGACACATTTTCTCTTGGCATCTTGTCTCCTCTATTTTATCCACCACCCCTTGGAAAAGTATGAAATTAAATGCAGATGACTCACTATAAAATCGTCATTGCTCAGACAAGTCATATTTTTTATAGTCTTCAATTTTGTTTGGTTACAGAACCATCAAATAGAAAATCAAACACATTCTGCCACACCCACCTGTCACATCATTTCTTTCAGGATTTGTTAATAGTTCTCTCTTACATTTAATTATATATAACCTATAACCAATAGAAAGTCAAGGTTTTCATTTATCAAATGAAACTTTATGTTCTGAATAGTTAAATGTCAGTTTCATTCACAGTACCAACATCGTTCTCATGGGAAAGTTGACAACTATCTTGGATGAACTTGTAACAACTCTTCTCACATAGTTAGAAAGCCAGAAAAATTTTGTGAGGTAAGGAAATTTGTCTACTTTTTGCATATTATTAATCTATATTGTTTGGTGCATTATTTAGTTAAATAAAAACTGTTAAGTGCATTATTATCATTAGTATATAATGATTAGGGTTAACTCTTTTTTTAAGATCGACGGCAAGAAAAAAGAAATTTGGTTAAGTATTTTATTTCTTGTTTTTCATGTTTATTCTTTATGTCTAATTATAAGAGTAAGTAAAATGTAAAAACAGGGATCTTTTTAGGTTAGTTACGATTAGATTAGGTAAAATAAATAATAATAATATAATAAAAATGTTTTACGAAGCACACATGCAAGCAACTCGTAGTAGCTCATGGACAATGTAATTCGTTAGCATAACATGAGCTTCACATTCCTCTAGTGCTTTACAACTTATAATGGTGTGGATATTAGTTAGACATGGTTCAAAGGGCAATAAAACAATAAAATTTAATTATAAATAGATGTATACTGTTACGAACTTAGAGCCACTTAGGATAAACGAATGTAGTTTCATGTTAGAATTTGAAGTCATTCTAGAAAGAAAAATAGGGTAATTTAGATTTATTTTGATTTGTTTTTGGTGGTTACGAGGTCGGTCAAATTGACCAATTCTGTTTTGAGATAGGGTAGAGAAAATAACAGATACACTATAAAGTTTTACTGAAAAAAATGTTTGAAATACATTTAAGAGGTTTTAGGGATTACACACAGGAAATTTCATATTTTTGAAATGAGTATTTTTAATTTTAACATGAAAATTACTTTGCACACAGACTATTCAAAACAAGTACTCAATATATTCTTGGACAAATCTTTATTTTGTTAAAAATATTTTACTTTGTATGTGAAGGACTTATAATATTAACCGAAAGACTGCCAAATTTTGTGGAAGATATACACACTATATTGAAAGTTAGAAGTATTAAATCTGTGAAAACTAAATGAGTACAAAGAGATCATGTGGTTGGTCAAATTGATCAATCCCGTGTTGAGACAGTTAAATAAGGAGCATTTGATTAACACAGTTCTATTTGGTCTTCAACTTGAGTCAGGTGATGTAAAGATGTCTTACTGGATGAAAACTGCCTACTGACTCTAGTCCAGTAGAACATGTGAGGGCCCCATGCAAGTATGCACACTGTTTTTGTTTGCTTTTCACTATCAGTAAAGATTGTTTTACACTTTAAATCATATGTCCTATCTGTTTCTTCTCTTAGCTTAAAAGTGAATCAGCTTAGCTAAATTCAGACTTATTCTGTAATTATTCTGCATGAATCTCCCTTTATAAAGTGGAACTACCTGACACTCCTTGTAAAAATCAGTTAATCTGAGAATACCGCATTAGGCTTTTCTTTCTTGTTTAAGTTATTTTCTGTCTCTAGTTCTGTTGCAGTCCTCTTCACTTTTCAAGTTTGGGGATCTTAGCTTCTTGGCAATCCAATGGTATGGTAGAGTGTTTATGCCTAGAATTATCAATGGGTGCCCCTACTTGATTTTTGAACAATTTTTTCTGAACTATTTAAATGAAGGTGCTATTTAATACTTCAGTTTGATAAAATCACACATGTGTTGGGTAATTGATTGTTATTAGTTAATCTTAAGGAATAAGTCAAATTATTTTAAGTACTGATCTACAATAAAGACATGAATTACTAAAAGATTCAAAAAATTTAATCGAAGTAATCTTCTAACTTACTCTGTATAGATATCAACTGAATCAAGAAGATGTTAGAAGTACAAGAAAAGAGAGACCAAAAGAATCATCAACTAGATGCAGTACTGGTAGGAGTTTTGCAGAATGCAAGTCTACATGTAAACCTGTCTTTCAGTCTACTGATGGGAATAGTACCCTTCCTCGCTCTCTTATGTGTCCAGTTTCTTCTGCTTTCTTGTGTTCTGATCTATCCTCACCTGTTTGTTCTGTGGTTTTATCTGCACAGGTATTTTGAAAGTTTGGTGGAAACTGTTATTGGTCTGTTTTGTTGCATGTTTGTGGATAGAACACAATGCTTTTATGTGTTAATGGGTATATTTTATTGCTAAAAATCTATTTTGTTTTTACCATACAAGCATCTAAAGCAGGTTTGGAAAGCCATTCAGTTTTATATTAATTGTCTGATTCATGGTTATTTTCAAATACTTTCATTCAAGCTTTTAAACATGCATATGTATATATATATTTAACTTTAATCATAGTTACTGTGGTCATCTTCAAGAAGTTTTGGAAATTATGGTTATCTGCTTACTTCCAGTTGCTTCACAGTAGTCACTTTTATACACACACTGTAATATTCTAAAATATGTGAAAGCAATCTCGCCTGACTGGGACTTGAATCTAGGATCCATTACTCTCAGTGGTGCTTTAAAACCCATACTTTGTACGTTGGGCTCCCACGGCTTCATATCCCAGTCAGATAACTTGATTCATCTAGTTCAGTAAAGTTTAAACATTTTAATAGAAAAACAATAAAATATTAACGAAAGAGCTTTATTTGTTGATTTATGTTATTTTCTTAAGTTCGTACAGGTTATGTCGTTCAGCTAACACCGTCAGCTAATTGTAACTTTACATACCTTTCTTTATCTTTACAAGTTGCATAGACATGAGCTATATCAAGACACAGACAAGACCTCCATTTAGTACAGAAAATTCTATCATTGACTTTATTTTTTATAATACTCCACTTTTTTCTGCAGGGTTGCTTGATTTAAGTGATAAAAAACACAGCTAGTAGGTGGTTAAAAGATTGTTTTGTTTGCAAATGACAATTGTTTGTCATAATAGGGATTAAATTCATTAGGTGAATAATTAACTTCATTTTGCCTTTAAGAAAAACTTATTCTTGGATATTGGATATAACTTTAGATACATGTGTATTTTCTTTAAGAATGCTTCGTTTATATTAAGAAAATGATTTTTTTCCTATTTATATCCATACATTTCTCATTCAACATTGTTTAATCTGATATTACATTTCACTAGAGGGTAAATATTTTGTTAATATGGTATTCCAAAGAGAACACCATGGTCCACCAACCTCGTAAGGCAGATGAAAATGTGGTAATTAAAAACATTTGGGAATAAAGTAAAAATCAAAATGAAATAAATATCTGTTTCTTATGTTTTTTTTATTATCTTGTAAACTCTAAACAATTTTACTCATGTTTATATTGCATTGTATGATTTCAATTACTAGAAATTTTTTATAGTATTTCCAGGTTATTGGGCAATTATACTTTATTATAAAAAAAACATGTTTATTTACAGGACAAGGGACAAAATATTTAAACCCTAATCAAAATATACATAGCTAAGTTTAATCCCTAACTTTTACAAAATTTTCAGAGCCATAGTTAATATGTGAGGGTGATTTCTTAAAAATGTTATGATAGAAAACTATAATTTTTATCTTATTTATTTATAGTTACGAAACACTAAGAAGTGATTTTTCCACCAAAACACTCAATTGGCAAAGAGAAAAAAAGCAGTAGTTTGTTCTTTCTGCATTATGTGATCTGATGTAATGTTACATTATTATTTAGTGAATGTTTTTATGGAGGTATATTAGCAGTTATCTCATAAGTAACACAAATATTAATATTTACAATAGCAATAATATCCTCTTCTCACAGAAAATTACTAAAATTTTCTACTTTAATAAAAACTTTAAACAATCAGTTTAACAATTATAAGAATATATCAAATGGTTAGCCATTAATAGCATTAATGAGAGAAAGTAATTATATTTGAAACATACAAAAACTCCAAATAAATATGTATACAAATCTTGCATTACTTGGCAGTTGGGGTCTACAAGGCAAACAGTCAAATGCCAGTGAAATGACCACCACTTGAACATACTTGTATGTTGATGCTTACATAATGAGATTTCTGAGGTATAAAATTAACTTGCTCACTGGAAGTGACCCTGTTCAGTTATTACTTGCTGTTAGTGAGAGGGTAACCATTAATTTCCAAACCTTTTGTAGCCTTAAGGGGCAGTATAACCTCACCAGTTAGAAAGTCTTAATATTTAGTCATTATGATATTACAGCACAGCCTATATGATACGACAGGCATGAACTGATAAAGAAATCATAGTTTATTTTAATGATGCCAAAAACTAATAGGATACTTAATATATATATATATATATATATTTATATGTAAGTTATATATATGTATAACAGTGTAAAAGGTGTAGGTTTTGTTATGATATATGTATTTTTATGAGCTATATTTTTAATGTTGTAATTAAAATATCAGTTAGAAAGACCTGCTGGTCTTAATGATGACGTTAAAATCAGAAGGCTTAAAAAGATAGGCCTAGAACATGTAGAAAAGTTGAAGGATGTGACATAAGGTGTTCTAACACATTCAAAACTAGATTATAAATGACTTTCTGTGAAGTGTTTCTAAGTTAGCTAGAGATTGGGTTGAAAAATAGTCAAGGATATGGTTAAGAGAGTATGGAATTATTTGAAGATAGTGAACCAGTCAGTGTGTTGGCTATTGCAGTTACTTTGTACAAGTAAATTCACTTGTTTTACTTTAGTTAACATCTTTTGCAACTTCTGGCAGTGTACAAGTATTTAAGTTTGTAGAAATGTTAAAGGAGAAAATAAAGTTATTTATTATTGTTATATGGATTGGAAGTTTGAGTTATTTTTGACAAATAATTTAAAGGAATCTGCCAATGAAAGAACATTGTCACAACATTGGTGTCAGAAGTGGGAGTATTATTTTGGTAAAAATAAAATAGAACTTTTGACAAAACTTCAACTGTTGAAGATGATGACAATGGGGTATTTTACAGGAAATTAAAAGAAAAACAAGAAAAAAGATATAAAAAATAAAATAAAAGAAGACCAGGAAGAGTGGGACAGAAAATTAGAAGAATGTGACAGGAATTTAATAAAAGAAAGAGACCTATTATGTAAAGAAGAGTTGAAATCAAAAATAAATGTAACTAAAGACAAGATCAATGAAGCTATAGGGAACTTACAGAGATTATAGCAATAACATTGAAGAAGTTTGAAAAGATTGAAGTAGTACAAAAAGACATGAACAGGGTAAAGAAAGACATCAACGAGGTAGAAAAAACATCAGTAACAGAATAAAATATCGAAAATTAATTATTAATTACGAAGATTAAACCAGTCATATCTCTTTCCACAATGGTTCAGGAGTTCCAGCCTGGAAGGTCATTTGTTACAAAATATTTAATAGGAGAACTTATTTAGTATACACCTATTACCACTACTGCTGTTACCAACTATTACTGAAGGACCTTCCAGGACTGCTTCAGACATGACATTACCAAATCCAATTCCAGAGTTTAGCTGGTCAACTCAACATCTGCCAATTAAGAAACCAACAAACTATGAAAGGAAGTTACTAAGCTCAGTTTGAAATCATTTCTAGAGTGAACAGGTGGAATAGTGAATAAGTGATTCATCTTGCTGTCCATTTAAAAGAACCAGCTATGACAAATTAAGTAACCTTCCAGCTGAGAACCATAACCATCAAACATTGGTAACTGCCTTATCCAACAGATTTGGAGTGTTGCACTAGAAAGAAATATCTAAAGCAAAGTTCCAGAACAGTGTACAGAGGAAAGAAGAGACCTTAGATGAACTTATGAAAGACTGAGAAGCTTGCTTAATTATCTTACACAAATTCTCCTTGTGAAATTATGGATTTTTTGGCATGTGAGCAATTTATAGGTACTGTAATATATGAGAATTTGACTGAAGCAATATATGTGTACATTCTTAAAGAAAGCTATGCATTAAGATTGGAAATGAACTAATAAAAGCATCAAATATAAGCTACAGGGATACCATACATATACTGTAGTACTGAAACATCAACAGCTGTTATCAAGTAAAGGAGGCAGAGCCCAATCAGATTAAACAAACAACGCCGAGCTAATGAGACATAAAGGGACCAGGAATTGCTTAGTTGAATTTATGAGGGGAAATTCAGCTTAAAATACTTATTTGCTGTAAATGAGAAAAGTTCATTATTTAAGGTAAATTGTTATTAGTTCATAAGCTTATTTTTGGGAAGCCTTGCAGAATGCTGATTATCATTGGTTCCACAGCTACAATTATTGTTCCTTATTTTCAAATCAAGGCTGGGAAATTGTTTCCAGAGATGAAGAAAGAAGGTAGATTGATGCAAAGAGCAGGTGTACATAAGATTCCAGCAAAAGGGAAGTTGAAAGTTACCTTATTTTAGGATGCTTCTCTGTGCCTCATGATGTGTGGGTAATGGACATTGAAGCAGAGTGAATTTTGGGAACTGATTTCAGGTAGAGACACGAATTTGAGTTCAGGCTAGCTTCAGTTTCATAGTCTGACCAAGAAATCCCTGTGCACTACATTGCAATTACTACAGCAGAGGTTGAACATTCAGTAGAAACAGGGATTTGGGTCTTTGTACAAACAAAGAAGTGAGAAACTCATATCAAGAGTTAATAGCATTAATTCTTCATCTATTGACTGGGGCACATTGTAACCAAATACTCCCAGCATGGTATGAGGGATTGATTGTTGGAAAACTGTCCTGGATGTGAAAAAAAATTGTCATACATGACTTTATCCAGAAAAGACTTAAATCAACTTGTATTAAAGTGCTGATAAAACTAGATTCCATCAAGGTGACATTGTGTGGCTGAGAAGTTTTTGTCAAGAGAGAGAGGACAAACTCCAAATTAGATGTTTGGGGTGGTGGTGATACAAGCCAAAGGTCATTGACCATGATTGTCTTTGGAAGTATGTTGGCAAGAGAATGGCCAACTAGGTGACTTCAGAGAAGAACTTGTCAGCAAAATCTTAATCTGTGGAGGAGCCTGAAGCTCCTGACAATACTGCTTCCAGAGGATCATCAAGGATGGAGCCATCAGTAAATTCATCTGAACACCTACTCAGGAAA